GAATAGTCTGAAAATCCCATTCAAAGCACCAAGAGGTTCCAGAGTTACTCTATCCTGGTAAAAACCTAAGCACTCAACTCAAGTGTAAGTATGTGACACAGCTACCATTCAAACTATGCAAAACAGATATTTTATCACTGATTTTGAACTTACAACTGATTCCTCATCCAGGATTACTTTTGCTCCAGCATTAGGGCAAGGTAACAAGGCTTTATCCTCATGACTACATCAACAAGCTTATTATTAGTCTAAACCAAAGCCTGTTATCAGTTACTGACATGTTAGAAGTAAGAATCAGTGATGCATTGGGGAAAAAAAAAAGAGCAAAATACACAAATAAATGAAAATGCATGTCTTGTTCCCTTCAAAATTTTCTGTCAGCCTCAGCCTTGATAAAAGAATTCCTTATCAGCTCTCCCAGTAACACTCTGCACATACCCCAAATACAGAGGCATAAGAGAACTATAGTGCCAGAGCCTAAAGTGTACAAAACTAAAGGGTTAGCTTTGCTTTCTGGGGGGTTCTTTACACAGAAATCTACACAAATTTTCTCAGAGGTAATTTCTTAAATGGAATTACCTCTGAGAAAAAGGGAGAGTATAAGGAAGAACAGCAGGCAGCACCTTGTCTCCTTCTAAACACTTTTTAACAGAAAAGCATATTAATTTGTGTTTGTTTTTCTATATCCTACCCCCAGTGCTAACCAGCCCTTTAGTTTCCTTCTGTGACAAGTGGCATTAGGCTAAAAATAGCTAGTAGAGTGCCTTAAAGACAAAGCTAACTTTATGCAGAAGCATTTTATCTGATCAACTGCAGAACTTACCTTCATTGAGTAGCAGCTGTAGCCAGATAATCATGATGATCAACAGCATTACAAATGGCAAACAGAACCAGAAGAAAATCAGAGGAAAGGTCAGCTCATTCACCAAAGGAACCAGAGGATACCTCATGGCTTGTTTCAGGTTGCACTAAGTTTAGAACAGTTTGCCTGCTCTGCTTTCTAACTGCCTTTTAATAACTCTCATTGCAACACTGTTAATCAAAAGAGGACTAGTGATAAACCAGCACAACTAGCAAAGGGGACACAGCCCCGTGCTAGGGAGGGAGGAGTAAGGATTAAATACAGGATAAGAACAACTGAGAAAACATCTGATTTGATTGGCCTTTCTTTGGCTGCTATTTAAAGGATAAATACAAGTTAGGAAGATTTCAAGGCTTATGTTAAAACAGTTGTTAAAGATATGGTCACGTCTTTGGATATAAGGGAGATAACCAAGTGCTACTTTGAGACTGAGTAGCCAAGGCTGCTTTTGAGAAAGAAGTAATGCAGAGACAACCCTACAGAGATGTGTAGAGGATGACTAGCTAAGAATTACTTCTCCCAGGCTCTTATTCGACACAGAGTGCAAAAACGTGCCATATTAATATTGACTCTATTTTTAGCCTTCTTTCTCTCTTTCTATCCAGTAGTTAATCCTTTAGGAAAATGAACCTTTGTATTTTAATTGCCTTTCTATCTCCCTTCCCTCCAAGAAAGACAACTAGCATGCTTCATAGGACATATGTCTGTAAATGTATTGCTTAAAAGTAAAGGAGTGCAGCGGTGGTCAAAGCAGGAACCAGAGAGGTGACTAGATAACTTGATATTCATCATGCTGGTGTGTTTCTCCTTCAATCATACAAAACCTATTGCTTACCTCACAGAGGGTTGTTTGTCTAAATTAATTGTTTGTGTAGCTCTCCGTAGAAGAGAACAGTGATGTAAGTGCACATTACAAGTGATTGCATGCATTTAATGTTCATACTTGTGTGCATGTGTTTGTTTTTAGGTAGTAACAGCTCCTTGAAATGAGCCTTTTAATCCCAAGATCTAAATGAACTCTGCAAATTCTTATTAATTCACATTAATAACACCCCTCTGTGATAAAAGAAAGCTATTATCCTTACTCTGTGCAATGGGTAAACAAGTGAGAAAAGTCATTAATGCCCTGAGCTTCAAGGATGCTCAATATTTGAGTCCCCATTTCACACAGTGGGGGGGGGGGGGGGCGGGGGGGGGGGGGGCAGGTTGGAGGCATCTCTGAAAAACAGACTGTTTGTGGATTGTCTATAGATGCAGCACCAAGAGGGATGGAAAGGAGCTGAATCCCGAGGCTGTGATCTTTTTAGTTCTAATGGTAAAGTGTTTCACTTAGTCACATCACTGTCAGGCAGAAAAGGACCTGGGAGTTTGG